TATATTTTCCAAAATGTTCAACCGTATGTTTTTGCAAGCTTCAAGTAGGCAATGAATTATTTCTTTGGGTACGAAAATGAACTTATCTATCTTTATCTTTCTATAGGGAACTCTCGAAAAAAAGACAACCTTAAGAGAACTTAAAGGGAAGCCACAATATAGAAGTATGTTTATCTCCTACAAAGGACTGTTCTCTAGAATTAGATATCATATAGTCTGATAAGATAATCAACACAATACAATAATTGATCAAAAGATTTGAATAGAAACTTCACAAAACAAGATATATGAAGGGTTCATTAGCACATGAAAAGATGCACAACTCATTGGTCGTGAGGGAAAGAAGTCAGTACTACAATGAGATATCATTGCGTATCTATTGGTATGGCTAAAGTCAGAAAGTCTGAAATCTCACATAAAACACCTGGACATCTCATATAGCTGTGGGAATGAAAAATAGTACAACCACTTTGAAAAGCTAACTCCCAGTTACTTATAAGATTAAACAAATACAAATCCTATGGACAGTCATTCCAATCCTAGGTATTTACACAATACGTGTACAGAATGATCAGCATGTGGATGTGTGTAATAGCTTTATTATTATGCCCCAATTATGATTGCCCCAAACTGGAAGTGACACAAAAGTCCAGTGACAGATGAATGTATAAACAAACACGAAACACTTGAAATCCTACCCAGCAATAAAGATGTCATGAAGTACTGGTGCATGTGGGAATATGGGTGAATTTGTTTTTTTAAAGATTTTATTTCTTTATTTGATAGAGCGAGAGAGCACAAGCAGGGGGGGCGGCAGAGGGAGAGGGAGAAGTAGGCTCCGTGGGGAGCAGAGAACCGCACGCAGGGCTTGATCCCAAGATGCTGAGATCAGGACCTGAGCTGAAGACAGACGCTTAATCGACAGAGCCACCCAGGTGCCCTGAAATATGGATGAATATTAAAATCATTGCACTGCATTGTATGAAAGAAGGCAGACATAAAAGAGTATCTATATGTATGTCCAGTTATATGAAGTTGTTAAAACTGCAGTGATCTCTACTATTGATGGTTCCCTGGGTCTGAGGCTAGAGGCAGTGATGGACCACAAAGGGGCACAAGGGAGGTTGTGAGGTAGTGGAAATGCCCTGTGTCTTGACTGTAGCAGAAGTTTCATTAGTGTGTACATCTATCAAATAGCATTTAACTGTATGCTTTAAAACGCATGCAGTCTATTGTACCTAAATTATACCTTAAATAAGTTGATTTCCCAATCTATTGTATCTCTCTGCAGGGACAATTAGTAGTGAGAAAATGAAATCAGTAAAACGCAATTGAGAGTAACATCCAAAATTATTAAATGCTTATGAATATATAAAAATGAAGCAGACCCAAGACCCCTAAAAACGATTGCTGCGAGAAATTGAAGAAGACTAGTAAACAGAGAAATAGGTAGCATGTTCGTTGATTGCAAGCCTCAGTTTTGTTAGGAGAACAAATTAATATTATTTGATCAAGATTGCTGTAGGTATTTGTGAAGAAAATGGCAAACCAATTTTAAAATGTATATGAAGGGACGCCTGGGTGGCTCAGTCAGTTAAGCGTCTGCTTTCGGCTCAGGTCATGATCCTAGCATCCATTCATTAAAATGCAAAGGCCATCTACAGACCAGAAATGATTCTTTTCAATGTATGTATCTGACAAAACACTCATCCAAAATATATCAAGAACTCTTATAAATCACAAAGAAAATGAGAAACAACCTAGTGTATTAATGAGCAGAAATATTTTAAAAAGCCCATCCCAAAAGAAGATATCCAAATGATTAATAAGCATATGAAGACCCAATAGGATATCTGCTAGATTGGTTTCCTTCTTTCTTCCTTTCTTCCTTTCTTTCTTCCTTTCTTCCTTCCTTCCTTTCTTTCTTTCTTTCTTTCTTTCTTTCTTTCTTTCTTTCTTTCTTTCTTTCTTTCTTTCTTCTTTCTTCTTTCTTTCTTTCTTCTTTTTTTTTAGTGGACCCCAACACAGGGCTCCAATTCACGACCCTAAGATCAAGGCCTGAACTGAGATCAAGAGTTGGATGTTACCCCCAGAAATGGATTCTAATGGCTCCCTCCTCTCTTCACTAGATATGTGGCCTTGGGAAGCTTTGTAATTTTTCTGAGGTTTTTTTTTTTTTTTCTCATCAGGAAAAGCATAGCACCTTAATAATAAGATAGTTCATAGGATTCGGTATGATCACCCAAAAGGGTACATGAACTGTACTTTTTGCTAAGAATATATTTGACCTTGAATTCTCCTTTATACATTTTTAAAAGCACAGACAGACAATTCGCAAGGAATACACAAGTTGTTCTAAAATAAATACCCTTTCAACTTTTCTAGAAAGAAATCATATATATAATAGAAAATTGGAGAGGAACCAATTTGTATTGAACAACTCTCCCCAAACCCTGAAGCATGTCTACTTTCCATTAAGACCTGAGATGAACATCTTGACTAGGTCCAACCCCTGCAGTCTTCTTGGTCTGGAGGGGTCTGAGAAAGTCCATTCTAGACCTAGAATGATCTGGACTCCTGGACAAGCGTTCCTCAGAAAGATAATCAACTACTCACCTCTAAAGGCCCTACAATTCGCAAGGAATACACAAGTTGTTCTAAAATAAATACCCTTTCAACTTTTCTAGAAAGAAATCATATATATAATAGAAAATTGGAGAGGAACCAATTTGTATTGAACAACTCTCCCCAAACCCTGAAGCATGTCTACTTTCCATTAAGACCTGAGATGAACATCTTGACTAGGTCCAACCCCTGCAGTCTTCTTGGTCTGGAGGGGTCTGAGAAAGTCCATTCTAGACCTAGAATGATCTGGACTCCTGGACAAGCGTTCCTCAGAAAGATAATCAACTACTCACCTCTAAAGGCCCTGAGCAATTTGTGAAACTGTGGGTGAGGTTAAGACCAGCTCAACTATATAAGCAGGACTCTCCCCTGAAACAAAGCTAGGGTATCGACAGATAGCATTTCCAAAATCTCTGTTACAGGCCATGGCATGCTCCATAGGAGGGAAAACAGGCACATGAGTATCAATGGAGAGAAATATCAATCAACAGACAAGAGACATTATTAAATAATGTCCACCACCCATTACAACCCAGGAAAGCTCTCATTCAAAAGCCATGTTTTGAGGAATATGTAGTTATAAATCTTCATGATTTGGGGCTAGAAGCCAGTTTCTTAAATGGACAAGCAACCCCAAGAATAAATAGATAGACTGGATTTCATCAAAATTAAAAGCTTTTTGTTTCAAAGGACACTATCAAGGAAGTGAAAAGACAATCCATGGAATGGGAGAAATATTTGCAAATTGTATATCTGATGGAGGTCTGCTATCTAGAATATATTAAAAAAAAAAAAAACCCTTACAACTAAGCAGTAAAAAGCCAATTTAAAAATGGGAAAAAGAGTTTGAGTCGACTTTCTCTAAAGGATAATACCAATGCAACACCGAATACATGAAAATAGCATTAGTCATTAGGAAAATACAAATCTAAAGCACAGTGTGATCCCACTTCCCCCCACTAGTATGACTTAAAAAAAAAAAAAAAGACAATACATGTGTTGGGAAGATTGTAGAGAAATGGAACTCTTAGACCTTCCTGGTGGGAATGTCAAATGGTGTAGTTGCTTTGCTTTGGAAAATAGTTTGGCAGTTTCTCAAAATGTTAAACATAGGGTTACACATGACGTAGCAATTCCACTCCTAGGTAGTTAGCTAAAAAATTTGAAAATATATGTCCACATAAGGGGAAAAGAACACTACATAACACAGAGATGGAGGAAGAAGAATACCGAGAGAGTTGGAACAGGAAACAGTTTCATAATTCATTGCATAAATTAACATTGGTTTTTCTCCTGTGTTTTGGCTTTTGTGTGTGTGTGTTTTTTTTTTTTTTTTTTTGCTTTAAAGAACGTTTCCTTTCCTACATACATCCTAAGAATGTATTGTAAATGGAGGAAGATCCAAATAAATGTAAAAGCTTGTCAAATACAAAGCAAACAAAGATAACTAAAGTGCTAGGATGCTTCTCTTGTGTTTTTAGTGGACAGAGGAAAAAAAAAAAAACACTAGAAAGACACAGGGAAGACCATCATGACAGTGTAAGACATTGGAATCTATCCCTTATTGGAAACGCCTTCAGATCTGTTTTACCTTAAAGGTAAGTGGGATGAGTTCATGACAGCCCTTAAGAAAACCTGGTGGGAGGCGTGCCTGAGTGGTTCAGTTGGCTGAGCATCTGACTCTTGGATTAGGCGAGGGTCATGATCTCATGGATGGTCAGATTGAGCGCCTTGTCACACTCTCTCCCTCTACCCATCCCCCCAGTCTCTCTCTCAAATAAATAAAGATGAACAAAGAAGAAAACTCCTTGGGAAACTATTTCTGCCTTGGTGATTTATACACACACAAGAATGAACAATCAGAACTATGCTGAGATAATGTTTTAGAAAGAGATGGGAAGTGTGGTATTAGCACAAGGGTAGACAACAAGAGAGAGTGGCCAGTGAGGGGTGGTCCCCATCAGTGGGGACCTTCAGGGGGACCAGGCAGCCTTGTGTATCCACATGGCCTCGGCAACAGGAAGGCAGCAGCTCCCCAGGTTCCATGACACCCCGGACGTTCCAATTCTGTTACTTCAAGTGCAGACCGTCACCTGGCATTTTGGGTGCTCCCTCTGTGGTTCCAGTTGGAGTCTGAGCTAGGGGCAGGGCCTTCGGCTCTCAGCTCTGGCATCTTGAACCTTGCTTTTGTGGTTACCGACTCTCAAGAGCTGTGGGGTGTTGTTCCAATAGTTCCCAACAGTAAGTAAAGACTTCCTGTACCCTCACCCCTCAGGCCTGATTAAACCTACTTGATTTCACTGGTTTTTAACCCATCATGTGTTTGGGTTTCTTCTCCTCAGTCCCCAGCTCTTCCTCTTCGGCCACACGTCACCATGGCAGCACCTCTTGGCCCTCTGTCTGATCCAGGGGCAGAAATCAGCCTCCTGGAAATCAACCAGGAGCTTCAATCCCAGCTGGAAAAAAGCCAGCAGGACTTCCGAGACCTCAAGGAGAAATTCCTGATATCCGAAGCTACTGCCTACTTCCTGGCCAACCAGCTGCAGAAATACAGTAAGTCCTACAAGGTCATGGTCTCCAAAGTGATGGCTGTCTGTATTCCTTCTGAGAAACTAAAAACCTCTCCAGATGCTGTCTTCTCTATTTCCAGTGTCACGATAAATTTCATCTGACCACAATCTGGGAAAGGTAGAAGTGGGTATTTACCCTCAGTTTGCTGAGGATGGGACAACTGAAGACAAATAGGTTAACAGTGACATGTCAGGTGGGGTTAGAGTGAACATCCCAGTTATTGCTGCGTCCTGGTGCAGACACAGAAATGCCTGGTCCTCTCAGGATGGTCTCTGTGCCGTATCAGATCCTGCATCACTGCTGGCCTAAGTGTCAGGGACTAAGGAACTCTCTCAGGTCCCGCTTCTCTAAGGTATCACTGGTAAAGCACCGAGATGGTTACACTGGGGAAACATGCTGATGGGACCCATGGGCACGGAGGCGGGGAGGGGGGACGGTAGCAGGTGACACTACCTGCTTTCAAGGAGACGGAAGTGAGGTCTCCTTTCCCCCCTGAAACCGTGTCCATGAGTGACGCCATCCAAACAGGGACTCCCCTGGTGAGAGGGAACCCGTGACAGGCTCTGCTTCCTGAGTCCACGGAGGCCATTTGATACCCAGTGGTAAGGTTGAGGGTGTTTCAGGGGACATCAGACAATCGGTGCTACCTCCTCTGTCTCTCCCTGAGCTGGGGAACATTGAGAGATGCAGGATGCCCAGCAGGTCCAGGCCTGGGCCAGGAGACACGTGGCCAAGTGAGAATGAGGGTGAGTGGGGGAGACCACATCCCGGGGAACCACCCAAGGCAGGGTGTGGGGCAGGCCCTCCCCCACAGGCAGCCTGAAATGGGGAGCTCAGCTGCCTGTTCATTAGGAGGGGCCTGCGGTGACAGAAGGATCATGAGAACGGGGCACGTGCAAAGCTGAGGGATAGGAAGGAATCCTGACAACTCTGAGCCCGAATTTTGGTCATTTTCTCACAATTTGCTTTCAGTAGAACCAGGGGAGGTATAATTAAAAATGAGTGATGCAGACAAAAGTCAAAACTGAGGCCTGCTCTTTAGGAAAGGGAAGAGATGATGAGCTTCCAGGGAAGGACAAGCAAAGTTTTGTTCACAACTTTCCTGAAAATCATCACATAACTGTGGGAAACCAGTTGTGAAGATGATGCAAATAGATGTCAGCCGAGGGCTTGGGGTGGACGTAACAGAGCACAGGGGTGAAGAGCATGGGCCCCGCGCCAGTTTTCCTGGACTCAAATCCATGCCGCCCATCGTCCTGTGCCTCAGTTTTCTCCTTGTTAAGGTGTTACTGGTGTGGGACCTACTTCTCTGAGTCCGAATGAATACTGAGTGATTTCTTGTAAAGCTCTAAGAGCAGAGCGTGGAACCATGTAACTGTTCATATTCTACTGCTTCTCATAACACAAACTGTATTAGGATTTGGCCATATTCCTTTCAGGTGCTTCTGGTTTTATGCATTGTGGTTTCCACAAGTGTAACCGGAGGAATTTTTACCTTTGAGATACTTGCTCAGTAGAGAAATCCCAGCTCAGGGGACCCATCGGTCCTGTAGCCCTGGGGGGCTTATGTCATGTCCCTGCTCAGCGTTTTACTTAGGAGGCTGCAAGGCTTGCTAGGGTGGCCATGATCAGGGGAACCCGAAGTCTGACTCCACCACATACCAGTTCATCACCGTGTCCAGTTCCTCTCTGTGCCTTGGGGCTCTTCTTTCCTGGGCTCTGCAACAGGGAGTAATCGACTGCCCTGGAGTTGGGAGGCTGAGGAATGAGATGTGGAGCTCCCAGCGCAGAGCCTGGTGGCCAGGGTTCCATTTGTCCCGGGATGGTCCCTGACTCGTCCCGTGAAGGCAGCACGCACAGAAGCATGTCCAGCTTTCCACTGAGGCAGGCATCTCTGTTTCTCAGAGTGTGAAGAGTCCACCGACATCATCGAATCCGTGCTGGGGGAGAAGGTGCGGTTTGAGAAGGGGAAGCGGGCAGACACGGTGGCTGAGAACCTCAGGTAAGGAGGGCTCCGTGTGGGAGGCTGCAGGGAAGCCGTGGGCATCTCTGACTTGGGGCAGCAACAAGTCTGGGCCAGGAAAGGGCAGAAACGTCATGGCAGGGATGTGACTCAAATGTTTCTAAAACAACTAAGACAACAGTGATTGGTAAATAATGGACTCCCATGACTCAGAGCCTCATTCTCTCCTTTGAAAAAAATATCAAAGTCACCAAGTTCAAGGGAATAATTCGTGGCATTTAACACATTCACAGTGTTGTGAGATCACCACCTCACTTACCTTTCACAGAGTCACGAGCTGGCTGACCACAGCTTGTCATCCTTTCTTTCAGACAATGCTGTCCTCTTGACCCTGCCATTCTCCTGAGCTCACCAGTTCACACCAGCTGTCCTGTCCACCCTTCTGTGTCTGGCGCTGTGTCCTTTAACTGCACGCTGCCCTATATGTAGTTTTCCAGGGAAATGGGTGTCCCCGATTTGAGCAGCTGAAGGGACATGTCTCTGGCGTGTGCTTAAGAGGACCCCTGGCTCTCTTTACAGAAGGAGACGATGCAAGGGATGTGCAGGGGCTCACAGGAGCATGTCTGATACACAGGAGGCCTTGATTTACCTTCTTCTTTCTCTGCCACGGGCAGGTCACCTCACATGTGTGAATTCGGCTTCGAGGGCTCCTTTGGGGAAATACTGCCAGAAATATCCACGAAAGCCCTTATAATCCTTTGTTCAACTCTTTGCATTTTAAAATTTTCTCTCTCTCCCACCTTAGGCTATGTCATATCCTACTTAAAGAGCTGACCCATTTGTATCAGAAGTTATGGGAAGGGAAAGACGTTTCCCAACTACTCAATAAGCACCTCGAGGACCTCCTAACCCATGGTGACCCTGAGCATCCCCAAGGGCCAGGCTTCCAAGAGCAACTGGCTGAGGGGCGCAGGCTGCCCAAGTGCCTTGTCCGAAAGCTCAGCGCAGGTAAGGCGGCCACAGACCCTGATGCCCTGAGCTGCCCCAAGGCCCTGGGCTCACAAGAGACTCCCCACCTGCCCTCACGCTGTTTGCAGCAGCTGTCATGGGTTCCCCATCGCGCGTGGGGCCGTGAGAGGACCGGGACTGGAAGGTGGTAACGGAGAGGAGAAATGCACAGGGTGGAGGTCATGGTGCTCCACGTGTCTGCTTCCTCCCTGAAGGAATGCAGCGTTTGGCGCAGGAGGCAGCCTCCACCGGTGTTTGAGCCCAGAAAGCAGAATGTGACAGGAGGATGCTTGCTAGTGTGCAAGGGTCCCTGCACTAAGTGGGAGGTTCCCAGACACAGCGCGGTCTGTATGAACTGTGGGCGAGAAAGTGAGTTTAACTTTCTCCATATTAGTCTCCTCATCTGTAATGTATATCAAATAACCTGTTGACACTGTAGTGATGAGATAGGGAAAATTCATGAATGCCCTTCAGGAAAAAATAAAGCTCCTGACCGTGTGGAGTTGGACGAGGTACTTGATGCAGTAGGACTTGGAGGTGGGAGCGCTGTTTAGACTGGAACACTTTTCGTAGACAGATGTCCCCTTGATCACACTGAAGCCCCCATGGGGGCCCATGAAGTCCCTGGTGGAGGGATGAGGGACAGGGTGGTTGTCCTGCCATGAGGGCAAGGAGGAGGCTCTATGTGAGAGCTGTGAACGTACAGAGAGCCTGTAGCCATGGCGGGACCTGCAGCACGCTGCGAGACACAGTTTGCAGAGGTCAAGCTGAGAAGCATCCCCTGAGATGGACAACAAGAGACAGTAAAACCTGTTGCCCAGGTTCAGGGATGCTGATCTTCAGAATCAGAGACACACTGCCTGATGCATCAGAAATCCATGCCACAGCAATTCTGAAAGACAGTGCCCTAAACTCAGTAGGGTACCTAGTCATGCATAGACCCTTAGGTCTCTAGGGCCATAGAAGCCACTGTGTTTAGAGTGCTGATATGGGAAATAGCTGACGGGACATTTCTGAATTTATTTGCAGAGAATTATGAGGATGAGGAGGATGAAGAAGAACAAGAAACCCTCACTCCCAGGTGACAATGAATATTCAGGAACCAATAACGTGTGGGTAAAAATGGACAGGGTCTCAGAAAGTAGAGTGAGTGAGGTCAGGAGGGTCACAGATGTCAGATGCAAGGATAAGCGAAACTGCAGATGATCCACAAAGGATGGCCCTGTTAGCTTGGTTGTCTGTGGTCTCTGGGCTGTTGTAAGACCAAGAAGAATTCACCAGCCTTAGGATTCCCCGTGGGTACAAAATACCCATTCTTTCCTGTAAATGGACACCGAGAGGAGATGCATATGTACTTCCTATACAGTTCTCTAAGGTCCTTGGTAGGAAGGTAGCTAACCAAGGAATTGGAAAACAGACAACTAGCAAAATTAAACACCAAGAGAAGTACCTAGCCCAAACCCAAAAACTTGGGGTGTCATGTGACACTATTAATACCAAGGTGCCTAGAAAGTCTACAGGGACTCCAGAGCTGTAAGCACTTGATCAATCTATGTTAAAGTCACCCCACCTCAGGCACGTGGTGGTTACCCCTGGTCTGCTCTCCATCTGTGCTTCATGTTGTGACTGCACCCTACTGGGATGGTGGAGTCTCATTCCTGGTCAGTGCTTCTGTGGCCGGAGCTCTGAGGATCTGCTGCTGCTACTCTCCCAGCACCAGGCAGCCACACTCTGCCTCTTGTAGGATGGAGTGCTTGTTCCCTCTCCAGCCGGCAGCCCTTTGCCTTTTGTGACCACTCCCTCTAACTCCCATCGAAGCCAGCTAGGAAGCCACAGTGTCTGATCCTCCTGGTTTGATCTCCCGTCATTCCTGTCCTACCCGGCACAGCATGGAGCAGCAGGAAGTGGAAAAGAAGGAAATCCTACAGGACAAAGTGGATGAGTGTGTTTTGACTCCTTCAACTCTGCAAGAAGGTAGTGAGAGCGACCAGTCCTACAGTGATGGCGAATTCCCATTAGATGAACAGGAATTCGGCTCTGCTCTGGATTTAGCCTGTGAATGCTCCCACACCCAAGGGGATGGAACTCGGTGTGGTCCCTCAGGTAATGTCCATGTTGTTTGTTCTGCATGCTTTGTCTACACTGAGGAAGGTCATCTCTATACACAGGCGTTACAGACACACATTGCTTTAAATCAGGACATAATGGATTTGGAAACACAGACATCAGGTGGGTCAGGGAGCCTTCAACCATCCCAGGCAGGGGCCGTGCCTCTGCCACCCTGGCCCCCGGGTCAGGCCATTGCACCTATGTCAGGGGCGACAAACTCTACCCACCTCAGTAGGACATCCACAAAGTGTTGTCAGATACCCTCCTTGGATCAAATGTCTTTTGTCCCATGCAATGATACTTTCTCTTTAGGATCAATATCTCTCGAGGTCCTAGACCTGTCCAATGTTGTTGGCTCCCATGCCTGCATAACAGGAAAGGTGCTTTCCCTGGTTTCACTTCTCGCAGTCCCAGGCACTATCTTTTCGATGTTGGTTCAACTTAGCCAAGTGGTCATCTGCAAACAACTGTATCATTACCTTGTATGTATGTTCCTGTGAAGCAAAGCCGGGCTCTGGCATCAGTCAGACCACAAATGGCTTTTGTGTCCGTAGAACACCAAAGATTCTTTTTGATTTGAGGGTTTCTACAACGGATTCATTAGTCTAGTCTCAAGTATTAATTCCCGTGAAGCGTCAAGAACCATGGTATCTCATGGAATAACTCCATTTTGCAGCAACACTCCAAGAAGGTGCTTGGACTCTTCCCCAGGACCTCTGGGGAAAATATATTAGGAACTCTTTTTACAGATTCCCATCGGAGGGGGCTATTGGGATACTTTGTAGGGGACAAGGAAATGAATTTCCGCAGCAGGTCAGGGGCAGTCCTGTGCACTGCTCCTGAGACTTAATGTGGGGGGTGCCTGGGTGGCTCAGACGGTTAAGCATCTGCCTCCAGTTCGGGTCATGATCCTGGGGTCCTGGGATTGAACCCCACATAAGGCTCCCTGCTCAGCGGGGAACCTGCTTCTCCTTCTCCCTCTGCTGCTCTCCCTGCTTGTACTCTCTCTCTGTCTAATAAAAAAAAAAAAAAAAAAAAAGACTTAACCTTGGGCATCCTGGAATATCCCTGCCAGAACACTAGGGTCTTGTCCTGAGAAACCTGATCTCCTTGCAGTGTGGGTGGTCACTGTTTTGGTAATATGGGTAGTGTAATTTCCTTAGTGTGACCTGTTGTCTTGGAACTTATTTTCAGAAAGGCAAGATGATCTTGGGGAAGGAAATGGACAACACCCAACGTGCCCCAGGTAACGCTGAAGACTGTGGACTATGAATTTTCCTGGTGACCTCTGGAGACTTCACATCCAGGGATAAAGAGAAAGTGCTGCCTAGAACTATTCCATCCATTCAGTCAATAGCAGAATATGCCCTTTAACCATGTCATCTATTTTCATGTGGTAGTTGTGTAGGTCTCACTTTCTTACTCCCTCTCATGTTGAATAACCTACAGAGTGGACACACATGCATTAACCCAACCCAGGGATTCCTGTAATCAGCTGTTGTCTCCTGTGTGGTTCAACCCAAAGTGAGATGCATATCAGCTTTGTGCCTGTTTGACATCATCATGTTGGAGGATTTTTTTTTTTGGAGGATTTTTGATAGCAAGAGAGGAAATTGAAGAATAAATGCATGTCCTATCAAAATATTGAGAAAATGTTCCTTGGAGTCAGAATGTCTGAGAGTCAGTAAGGCCTCAGGAAATTTAGTCACTTGGACACTGCATGTAAAAGTCAATGCAACGTAGGCAGCAGGGTTGAAGCCACTTGTTTTGATTCCCTCTGTGTGATGGGAGGCATCATTTTGACGTGAGTATGACAGGGAGGGTTTAGTCTCCTCCTCTATCACCTGGTTATGAGCTCAGTGCACATAGTATCTGCTACTCTGTCTCCCACTGCTCCTCATATAGGAGGCCACACTCTGCTCCTTATTTAGGGGGATAGTTTTTTTCCCTCCAAGGGGACAGCCACATGGCTTTCTGTGACCACTCGCTAGAACTCCCATCAAATCCAGCTAGGAAGCCACGGTGTCTGATCCTCCTGGTTTGATCTTCTATCATTCTTGTCTCACCCGGCATAGCACGGAGCCCCAGGAAGTTGAAAAGAAGGAATTCCTACAGGACACAGTGGATGAATGTCTTTTGACTCCTTCAACTCTGCAAGAAGGATGTGACAGCGACCAGTCTTGCCATGATGGCAAATTCCTATTTGATGAACAGGAATTCGGGTCTGTTCTGGATATGGCCTATGAATGCTCCGATTCCAAAGGGGCTAGAACTCCACGTGGTCCCCCAGGTAGTGTCCATATTCCTTGTTCCTCACACCCTGCCAGACTGATACACCTCTCCAGCCCAGGCACAGGAGGTCACTGCCAGACCTCCTAATTTTGAATTCAGCTCTTGTCCTCTCTTGAAAGGCTCTAATTTCCATTCTGAAACCATGCCCCTGAATTTCCTGATGCCTGCCAAGGCTGTTGGCAGCCTTTTCTATATCTTTGGAGATGGCACTGCCCTGGTTCACTCTCTTCCCTTAGTCTATCTCTTCACTTGTCTTATCCCAAGTCAGCTGAGAACCAGAACTGGACCACTGCTATGGGACAGTGGATGTTTCTCTGGAGCAAGGCATGATCCTGAAACTTCCCTACCCCATGAATGGCCCCTGTTTCTTTGTAGCTTTGAAGATTATTCTGCTTTGATGGTGTGTAGAATCCGTTCATTGGTTTAATCTGAATGGCTTATTCCTCTAAACCATTCACCAACAGCATTTCAGATGGAAAAAGCCTGAATATTGCAGCAATCCTCTAGGAAGCAGCCAGGTAGTTCCCCAGGATCTCTGGGAAACAGAATCAGTTCGTCTGCATAGACTCAAGATTTAGGATGCTGTGATGATGGCCTCTTTTATCAGGGACATTTGTTTAATAACTCAAGAGAACAATCCCAGTGATTGCTTACACTGGATGTACCTAAACCCTACCTAAGCCCTCCTGGATGATTACTCTCACAGTTGCCTGTTAGTACTGTGCTTCTCTTTCTGTCCTGTGCTATGCAGGATATAGAGGGGGCATTTGTGAAGGCGAATCTGCTTACTGTAACTCTTTCTCTTCATTATTTGCAGAAAACCGAATTGATCAGGAGGGGCTGAAAGGACAAGAGTCAGCTGCCCCCAGGTAATTCTGAATACTTGGGGGCTGTGAATTCAAAAGTGTCACCCAGGGAAAAGCAGAAAGTGCTGAAGAAAACTATATTATCCATTGGGTCAATGACAAATTATCCATTTTCACAATGTTCTCTGTGTTCATTGTTGTACTTGGATTGCTTCCCATTTCTTAATTACTTCTCGAGTTGAGTAACCCACAGTCAGCTGACCGAGGTGAACTAATATGGCACAGGGATCGCTGTGCTTGCTCATTCTCTCCTGTGTGCTTTAGAGAGACATGCACATCTGCTTTCTGCCTTTAGATTTCGCATGTTGACGTGTTCATAACATGAAAATATCACAGCAAGTAGACAAACATATTCTATCATGCCACAATGTTCAGAGAAAGAGGCCTTCCTGGCATGAGATTTCTGTGCCAGTGGACTGCCCCCAAAGCTGCCCACGCTTGGCCACTACATGCAGAACTCAATGCCATTTGAATGGAAGGGGGAAAGCCACCATTCTGGGACTCTGTCTGTTGTGAATCATGACTGGACGGCACAGAGATAATTCAGTCTCTTTCTTCACAAGCTTGCTATTTGGCCTGTACACTGAGCACTTGTCCTTCGATCTGCTGCCCCTGTGACAAACACAACTTGTCCCACAAAAACAAGAGTTGTTTCTCTCTTTAATGGGTCCTCCCTCTCTTTGCTTTCTTGACCACTCCTTTCTGCCTTCCATCCAAGCCAGACAGGACATATGATTTCAGATCCCTTTAGGTTAATCTTCAGTTGTCCCCACCCTGCAGGCTCAGCAGACAGCTGGTAGAGGTGGTAGAGCAGGACATCTCAAGGGACTCTCAGCATGAACACTACTTGACATATTCTGTTCTTCCCGACCTGTCTGACTCCTACTGGCCTTACAGGAGCACCGCCATCTTCCTACCTGAGGAACTGGAAGTCTGTTCCTCTCTGGAAGCGACCAGTGAGTACTCCATTGTCCAGGTGATCAAGCTCCACCTGGACACCCACAAAGATCTCCTCTTCTTTGTACCCCAGACCTCTGCTGTGCCGAGAGAGGTCATCCCAGTGGGCAGGGATGTTGTAGGCTCTCTTCCTACTCCCAGGGCATGCCCATGTCACCTTGGCTTCTCTGTCAGGTCGTTGTTGGGCCAAGGCAGGCACCACAAACTCAACTCACCTCAGCCACATGACCATAGAAGGTGTCTGTCAGACCTAGTGTGGATGACATGTCTCTTTTCACCTGTAATAAGCTCTAGGCTTCATCTCTGAGCCGGGTCCCTTAAGAATCTATGCTGGCCTCAGTCACTTGGCATTCTTGTCCAGGGTTAACTGGTTTTGCTGTTCTTAGTCCCATTCTCTGTCTCCTTTAGGTTGGCTTGTCTTCCTAAACGGTTGTCTGAAAACCACCCTAAGTGTCTCCACTGATAGCTTGTTTATGTTTCCAGAAGCACAGCTGTGCCTTGGCATTCTCCCACCACATGAATTGGGCCAATGTTCTGAGTAGCACCAAAGACTCACTTGAATTGGAGGGTTTGTCGTTGCATTCCATCTGTTCAGTCTCAATGTACCAATTCCACTAAGCCTTCAACAACCAGCTATCTGATGAGAGAAGGCTGAACGCTGCAGTCATCCTTTTCGAATGCAGGGAGGCTGGCTCCCCAGAATTGGTGTGAAAAAGAGAAGTTAAAGTGCTTGCACAGACTTACGACAGGGGAAACTGTGATGCTAATCTCCTAGACGATGTAAATTTTTCCAAATGCCTCGGGCTGGGAAATCAAGCCAGTTATCCCAAGACAATATCGGAGGCACCCTGAAATACTCTTCTGACTAAACCTGTTCTCACACTGAACATATCTGAGTGCGTGGGTAGCATGAGACACTGGATTATTAACGTACCAAGAAGGATCTCCTTAATGAGCGGCCCTGTCTGTATATATTTCCAGAAAATCAATTCCATCAGGAGGAGGAAGAAGACCAGGACCAGATATGCCCCAGGTAACTCTGAAGACTCATGGGTTGTTATTTCAGTGCTTCAACTGAAGGACTGCATTTCGAGGGAAAAATAGGAATTGCCGAACATACTTATTTCATCCGTTCTCCAATCACAAAAAGTCTCTTTTAACCATGATGGGTGTCTTCACTGTGTAACATGGTTAAGTTCCTTTTATTGACCCCTCCATTTCAGTAACCTGCAGTCAGTTGAACTTGGTGAATTAATCAGTCACTGGGATTCTCTGCATTCCCCTCTTCTCTCTTTTTGTAAAACCAGAGTGAGAGGCATATCTGCCTCTCCCTCTTTGGTCTTACCACACTGAAGATATATTATAGCCAAAGAATATCTAGGATAAAATTCACATCATGTCACAATAGTTAGAGAGAGAGGCATTGAAGACACAAGATCTCTCCATTTTGAAGATGCTTTTTAACTCCCGGGTTCACTTGGTCAATACAATTTATGTCAAAGTGTTGAAGCCAACTTTGGGATTCTCCATGCATGTTGTGAGTCAAAACTTCCATTCCACAATAGTTCAGTTTGTTGTTCAGAAGCTTAGTTCTGTGGCCACTGCCCTGGGCACCTTCTCTTCTCTATGCCTACTGCCCCCACAGCAGCCACACTCTGCCCCCGAAACAGGAGGATAGTTTTTGCCGTCAATAATGGGTGTGTCCCTTTGTTATGAGTCTAATTTGCCGCCGCCGCCCATCAAAACCATTAGGATGCTGGGGTGTCTACTTTTCTTGTCTTAATGTTCAGATCTCCCCACCCTACCAGGTTCAGCAGGGAGCTGCCGGTGGTGGAAGAGCAGGATGCCCCATGGGACTCACTGGATGAATGCTATTTGACTTCCTCAGCACTTCCTGACCTGTCTGACCCCCACGGGACTTCTAGGAGGGCTGACATCAACTCATTCCAAGATCTGGACATCTGTTGTTCTCTGGAAGTAGCTAGTGAGTCCTCCATTGTCAAGGTGATAAAGCTCCAACAGGACTCCCAAGTGGACCCACTATTTTTGGTATCCCAGCCTCTGGTTCCGCTGAGATGTGTCATTGCTGTGTAGAAGCCCGGTAGACATAGGGATCTGAGTCAGGCTCTAGGATAGACTTTTCAGCATAGACATCAGGTGAGTCAGGGACCTGCCCTTTGTTCCTCATCTCAGGCCATGCTTCTGGCTCCTGACAGAAGTTAGGACATTGGAGTCAAGGCAGATGTGACAAACTCACACTCAGTTTTGCTGCACATGCAGAGGTGTGTGTCTTTGTTCCTAATTTCCTTTAAATGTGTCTCCTCATCTGCGATGCTCTCGTTTTCATACCTGAACAATGTCCCTTGAATATTTGTGCCTGTCCAAAGATGCTGTCAGCCTTACCTGTATCTTTGGATTTGTCGTTTGCCTGCTTTGACTGCACTGATCCCCAGTGTCTGTGTCCTCCGTGTTGGCTGTCTCGACTGAGTCATCCCTGGAGTATCAGGACATCAACACCTCTACCATCAGCTTGCTTGTATGTTTCCCCGAAGCAAAGCTGAGCCTGGGCATTGCCCCTGCCCATGCATGGCTCATATGTCTGTGTGGCACAAAGGATTGTACACAATAGATTCCTGTTGATGTGAGGGTTTGCAGATTCCATCCACCAGTCTGGTCTTTGGGTCTAAATTCCCTTAAACCCTCACACCTAGAGCATCTCATGGGATAAGGTAATGAGAGAAGGTGGCGGTACGTTTTTCGAATGCAGGTAAGCTGTTCCCCCAGAATCTGTGGCAAAACAGATGTTTCCCTCTGTACACGGACTCTTGAGCTGTGGCTCTATCACAGCAGGGAGCTCATGCCCGGTGCTTTAGGAAAGCAAACCAAGGCACAATCCCAAGACACTACCTGAGGCCTCCTGGACGATTTTCTCTCACAATATCCTGCTGCCCCACTAAGGATAATTATGCCCATGTACTAGTTGTATCGGATACTTAATTTTAATGTACAAATGTTCTGTTTAATATGACTGGACCTGTCTGTATCTGTTTGTAGAAAATCATACTGATCTTTCGGTGGAAGACCAAGACCGGATATACCCCAGGTAACTCTGAAGAATCATGGGCTTTAATTCAATGGTGATCTCAGATCTAGGCAAATTTAGAAAGTGCTAAATGTACCTATTTTACCCATTCAGCTACCCACAACGTGGTCCATTAGCAATGTTCTCTGTTTCACTGTGGTACTTCTATAGGCCCCTTTCTTAATCCCTCCCAAATGTAGGAACCTCTAGTCCATTGATGCAAGTATCCTAAGCAATCACAGGAACTGTTCGTATTGGATCAATCCAAAATGCCCGTCTGTCGCTGCTGGTTTCGCATTATGATGTTGGCAGGAATTCATGGCAAGGAAAGTGTTTAGTAAAAAAAAAAATTCACGTCTCAGTATTTAGACAAGTAGGCGTTGAACACACGAGCTTTCCAGGACTCTACAATGCTGCCAGTCTGGGGTTGTCTTGGTGATTTCTGTAAATTTCAACAAAATGTATGCAACGGTGTGATGGTGGTTTTATTGTTTTCTGAGTGTTCTGTGTGTTGTGACTCTTGTGCACAGGGTGGTTCAGACTGCTTCCCTTAAACTCCCATTCTGGCCATGCTCTGAGCACCTCCTGCTCTCACTCTCTCCCTGCCTCCCTGATCTATCCCCAGTGCAGCTACACTCTGGCCCCAGAGAGAGGCAGAATGGTTCATCTCCCTTGATGGGGAATTCCCATTGGTTTCCTGTGACCAGTCCCTCCTCCCTGCCAACAACACCAGCTGGGACTCCGTGTTGACTCAACCTTCTCGTTGCATCTCCTGTCCTCCCTGTAACACCAGGTTCCCCAGGGAGCTGCCAGTGGCAGAAGAGAATGAAGTCCCACAGGACTCACTGGACGAATGTTATTTGACTTCTTCAGTTGGCCATGACCTGCCAGACACCTGGAGGCCGTATACAAATGCCTCATCCATAATTGATAAGCCGGAAACCTTCCTGGGTCTGGATGGAGATGGTAAGTACTCCCATGTGAGGGACACAACGTTCCTGGGGCTCCCAGGAAGCCTGTCTTCTCTGTATCCAACAACCTAAATAGGCTGAGACATGCACCCGTGGCAATAGGCCCTGTAGACTCAAGCTGGTTTGAACTCTGCCCTTGGATTTAATTTTGAAAACATTGGGACTCCCAGGTGGTTCATTTGGTTATGCATCCAGCTCTTGATATCCACTCAGATCTTCAACTCAGTGTTGTGAACTCAAGCCCCAGGTTAAGCTCCACACTGGTTGTGGAGACCACTTAAAAAAAAAAAAAGGTATCTTGTGGATCCAATTTCCTTTCCTTCTGTCGCAGACTACCTTCTGTCACCTGGCCCCCTCACAAGTGCAGGCTGTTGGTACCAAGTCAGGTTAGAGAGGAGAAATGGAGGGAAAAGGGCAACAACTCAGGCACCACTATCTCCCCTGGAGACGTCTGGGTAACAGGCCTCTTTTTATTTCTTTCCAGAAGAATCTTGTGCTGCCCATGAAATTTTATTGCCAATTGTACTTCCTGTGTGCTTCCTGCAAACTCTCTGGCTCTCCACACAGGTTTCCAGTCAGCTCCCTATCTGTAGCATCTGTGATATTGTTGCTGATTTCAAAGTTTTTGTTCCTGGGGTGACTACGTTCCTCTGGAGCATTTAGATGGAAGATCCTGAGCATTGAGTCCTGCCTGTACAGTATGGTTTCAGTGAAGCCAAAGCTCTAGCCCTGGTTTTCCATCCTCCACGGATGGCGTGCTTGTCACCCTTTCTGCAGCATCAGTGGTTTTCTCCCCCGTGTGGATATGTTTTCAGTCACGTGTCTGCTCAGTGGCGTAAGTCCTGTAAATGATCAATGGCCTGTGCACCTGACATGGGTATGGCCTCATTCAGGAGCAAAGCAGAGTTGTTCCCCTCTCCAGATTCTTCAGAACATGCTGCCTGCTGAGCAAGACCCCCTTGGGGCCCCACTCGCATAGGAGTGCAGGCTAAAACCCAATTTCCCATTTCTTCCCACTCAGGTTATTTTTCGGCCTTCCCTTCTTGGAGAAGCATTTGCATTGTTAGGAGACTTTCTTTGCTCATCAAATCACCTTGTAGGAGCAGCAAGGAGTATATGATGTTCCTTACCATGTCAATGTTGTCTAGTGAAATTGGCCATGGAAGGTTTTGTCCCTCAACCCTATTTGGTCAGTAACAGCCTTTCCACACTAGGACCACCTTCTCCCCTGTTTCCCATCCCTCCCCGAGGGGCAAAGAAGCAAAGGATTCCTCGAGATTATAGCAACTCAGGAAGCAGAAATGAAACACACAGTTATTTTGCTTTTGTTGTCTACCATGCTCTTTCCCGCGCCCGCTCAGCAGCAGCTCTGT